GGACAACCAAGCAAGCAAGCTGGGTTACACAAAGGATTCAGCACCATCGACCATATCCACACGATAACTAAGCTCATTGAGGTTTCTCGTGAGTTCAAGATGCCACTCTGTCTAACATTCATTGATTTAAAGAAGGCCTTTGATTCTGTTGAGACGGAAGTGGTCATAGACACCCTAGCCAATCAGGGCATTCAAACTCAATACATCAGGATCCTCCGTGAGCTGTATTACAGATTCACTAAAAGGATCTCACCATTCTACAAAGAAGTAATCATTGATGTCAAGAGAGGGGTTCGGCAGGGTGATACCATTTCACCGAAACTCTTCAGTGCCACCCTCGAGGAGATCATGTGACAACTAGAGTGGGAAAGAATGAAAGTGAAGATAGATGGTTGGCAACTATACCACCTCCACTTTGCTGATGACATTGTTTTAATAACACTAAACATTAGCCAAGTGGCACAAATGCTGGCCGACTTTGACCGTGAGTGTGGAAAGGTAGGACTACAGCTGAGTTTTACGAAGACAATGTTTTTGAGAAACAGACTCATTCCTGACGCTCCATTCACTCTCAAAGGAACGACCGTCTCCGAATGCAACAGTTATGTGTACCTAGGTCGAGAAGTCAACATGACAAATAATCTGGCACCTGAATTGCACAGGAGGAAGAGAGCGGCTTGGAATGCCTTCAAGAGCGTCGAAGAAATAGCTAAGAGGATGAAGAACCTTTGGCTCCGGGCATATCTCTTTGATTCCACTGTTCTTCCTGCACTAACATACGCCTCAGAGACCTGGGCCCTACGAAAACAGGATGAGAATGCTATTTGAGTCTCTGAAAGAGGAATTGAAAGAGCTATGGTTGGAATATCACGTTTCGCTCAAATGAGAGAAAGAATCCGGAGTTTCGACCTCCATCGACAATCAAGAATCAGGGATGCTGTCTCGTTTGCCAAGGCATCAAAAATCAGATGGGCTGGTCACGTAATGAGATTAAGAGACGACCGCTGGTCTAGAGCTGTTACCGGCTGGATTCCACGGGATGTCAAAAGACCGCGTGACTACCCACCTACCAGATGGTCTGATTTCTTCATCAAGACCATGAACGATCGGTTTGAGGCTCTTCATGTTCCTAGAACGAACAGATGCCATTGGGCTACACTAGCACGCGACAGGGACAATTGGAGGTGTTACTTGCGCCCACTAAAGCAAATTGTCGATTAACAAGAAGTCAAGTGATCAAGTGATTGAACATGGAGAGAGAAGGGAGGACTCCAGAGCAGGTGAGGGGTTCTGGAGTTGCCCATGAAAAGTTTCAGAAACTCTGCTATTCCAGCATGCAATTATTACATGACAACCAATTTAATTTATATTCTTTAATATTTATTTTTATATAAATCCAATTATGTATGTAGTATTACTTATATTTAATGGCATAATAGGAAACATGAAAGCTTAAATGGTTTTTACAATGCTCAAAAATACACTTTAAAAATTGGTCCCACTATCTAGACTAAAGGACTCCATTTTTTCACTAACAGCTGTCACTGTTTTGGGAGCCAAGTGTTAAGCTAGAATCAGGAGAATGGAAGAATGGCCAGAACACAGGGCCCTGGTATCTGAAAACCCACTGGAGCAAGACCATGTACCTGCTGTTTTTGTACTTTGTATCAGAGGAAATACCTCTGGGGTGTTTCATTATCCCCCATCCACTCACATACTAGGTAATTAGTCCCCTGAGCAACACCCTTTTTCTCTTCAGTTCATCTTTATGTTCATACTCACAGCATCCCAGGGTTGGTCCGTGCTCACCAGGATCGTCCCTGTAACTAGAGATGCAGAGGAAGTGGGGAGGGGGGAGTTTCCTCCCCTGCATGTGGTTCATAAGATTGATTCCCTGCCCTGCACATGGTTTCCCATGTCTCTACCAGGAGTGACCCCTGAGCACAGAATCAGGAGTATACCAAAGTGGCACAAGTAATACGACCAAACCAACAGGGGATGAGAGATAGCACAGTGGTAAAGCACTTATGTTGCACATGGCCAACCCAAATTCCTGGAGGTGGTCCCTTTGGCCACTAGAGGACATTAGACCTGTAGAGAGTTCCCCAGGCCCCAAGTTGTCTGACATTTCTATGAATAGCATAGATTAACTGGCCTTGATTTGCTGGTGCCTAATGGCTCGAGACTTGGGAAAGAGACATCTCTGGTGTCAGCAATACTTAAACCTTGCCTCTGCCTTAGCACGTCAAGGCCAGTGGTCCAGCAACTTCTTACAGGCATGACAGTCCCCTGCTTCTCTCTGCCACCTGCTCCTTAGTGCACACAGACATCCACCCTCAGCCTCTAGAGACCATTGCTCTCCTAATAAACTCTGTCACATGACTAAGGTTCAAGGGCCCATGTGGGCTTCTTTGTCTCAGCCACGCTGAACTCATAAATTTTTGAGCATCTACTCTCCAAGACAGATGGACCATCTCCTTCTTGCCAGAGTCTACATGCAGGAAGACGGGGATCCATGCATTTGATCAATGGAATCTGCAAGGAGTATGTTTCTCCAGTCCCACGGAGATGCTGCTCACTTCATGATGAAATCTCAGCAGAGAAGACAGGGCATGGATCGAACTATGAGGATTTTTTAACTCAATACCTTTGAGAGGAGAGGATTTTCCTGAAAATCTTGAAAGGGTAGAAAAATGCCCCTAGAGTCAGCCATAATATTTCCTTTCTTCCTGTTATTTCAAATGTGTACTAAGGGTCTCCTGTGGAAATGTTGAACACAGGAGCCTGTGTGCCTTGGGTCTCCCCAGAACAGGAAACAGAAAGTCTCCTTCAGGGACTGAGTGAGGGGAACTGAGGCTCCTGTCTGTCCCAGGACATGGGTGGATGGTTAGACCTGGGTCAGGGCTGGGAATCTCCCCCACAGGTTTGTTCACAGGGGAGCACTTCCTGTCCCAGTGCCCTGTCAGTGTGGAACAACAATTCTGTGCCTCTGGCACTCGGTGCAGGGCCCGGGAGATTGAAACAGGTTCAAGTCTTGGAGTTCAGGGAATAGGATGTTGTGAGAAGTCCAAGATTGAAGTCAGGATTAAAGCTTCTGCCCCCAAAATTCTCAAATGTAAGAATCAGTTCTCCTATTGCACTGCTCTTAGCCCTTATTGCTGCCTTGCTGTGGATCCTTAAAGCCCCATATTATAAGACAGATTATTCTGTATCTCTCCCTTTCCTGATAACTGCTTCACTCAGCATGATATCCTCTTGTTTTTTCTGTATTGCAGAAAGTTGAGTGATTTTCAACTCAGTAAGTATGGTAAGGCCCACAGAAGGTAGACGGGATTAGGATTCTTTCCAGGTGTTCCTCATGGATGTGAAATTTATGAGTAAATTGTCTTCAGGGCAATGTTCTCAGACTTTCTGGATTCAGTTGGAAGTGTGTCACCCTAGGAGAATGGTTGGTGATTTAAGAATATGGCATTCCCAGGTGTCACTTGGAGTTGTCACTACACACAGAGGACAGTGGGGAGACTGAGGACAATTTAACACTCCATAACTGTAGGTGGAAGTTCAGTGACCAAGGAGTCCTATCCAGAGGCCTGCTCTGTGCAGAGCTAGGAAGGGTGAATTGAGAACAATCCTCCAGGTCTGATTCCTGGAATGCCCTGTCCCAGGAATCTGTCTGTCTTTCTGCTCGACCACATTGACAATCCAGGCTGGCCTTCAGGTCGAGCCCATGCTTCTGTGCTCTGCATTGTCCTTGGTTGAAACTTTCACACATAAGTACTTGTTGTGCTTTCAGAAATTTAATGGTCATTCTGATTCATGTATGTTCAATATTCCCCGATAGGAGGGAATGAAAATACTCTCACATTAGACATGAGAATTTTTAATGTCATTGGGAAGGATTTTGTTCACTTTTTGTAAATTGACCATTTGATAAATTTGGTAACATTTTTCAAAGTTCAGGTATGCATCTTGAATTCTGCATAAGAATTAAAGGTCATAGTCCAACTATAGAAGCACAAATATTCCCAATAATTCTGTGGTCTGCATGACTGATAGCCCTTTATATAGTCATGCTGTCTGAGGCTTCTCTAGTGTATGCATTTGTGCATGGATACATGTCCTTTATATCAATTGAGAGAAGGTGATAAATTTTGATGACTTATTCCCCAATTTCAAGGCATGCACAAAATTAAGTTCTCACTAAATACCATATATTTCCCAGGAATATTGGTCAATTGGTAAGGTCAGACCCCAGATAAAGTCATCTTGGATGCATGACGTTGGGGTGGAGGGAGCAGCTCCTGAGGCCTCGCTCTAGATCCTGTCTGCTGGTTCGTGCTACACCCCACACTGTGTGTCTGTGCTGGGTAAAGACCTTACTGTGAGCTGGGCTGAGTTGCCCCCAACATCAGAACATCACAGACACTGACCCTGACCATTTCCTTACCACCACGTTATAGGAGAAATGTGACTATCTCCCTTTCATGCAGGGTCATCTCCTCCACTGTCCCTTGTCCAATGGCAGGATTCCAGCTTAGAAATATAGAGAAATTACGATGTACAGAGGGGCAGGACTCCACAGAAACTAAGGAAGGAAGTCTGGCCAGCACCAGGATTTCTTCTCAGAAAAAGGACTTCTTGCAAAAAGTGTAAATTTGGAGTCTGCCATGGTAGACCTACAGTTCAGGAATCTGCAATGACACCAGCCCAAACTTAATGTGATTATTCCTGTATCATCTGTGGTGCTCCACACAAATTCCTACAAGAAAATATGAACAACACCAGGTGTTCTCGAGAGTGGCCATCTTCCTCTTGGCTGTTTAAGGTAGCCAAAGAAAGATCCTGAGCCTTCCCCTTAAATGAAGACTGGCCCAGTGAGCCCCGTTCTGTGTCTCAGACCCCAACTCTCTGCAGAGGAAGTCAGGAGGATTAGCGTCCCTGTCATCTCCTCGGTACAGCTGCCTCTCCCTCAGTTTTCTGACACAATCAGGATGTGGTCGTCACACTGTGCCTCTCGCACAGTAATACACTGCCGTGTCCTCAGTGCTCAGCCTGCTCAGTTCCATGTAGGCTGTGTTCGTGGACATATCTCCGTTGAGTGTGAGTCTTCCCTGAAACTTTGGTGCATAGATCGTACCACCAGTGTTGGGGTTCATGTATCCCATCCACTCAAGACCTTGTCCCGGGATCTGACGCACCCAACACATCAAGTAGTTGGTGAAAGTGTAACAGCAGGCCTTGTAGGTGATCTTAACTGATGTCCCAGGTTCTCCCATCTCAGCCCCCAACTGCACCAGCTGCACCTGGGAGTTCACACCTGTGGACAGCAGACAGGAGTGGGTGGACTCTACTTGACTGGCATCGTTCCTCAGCGCAATGCACGGGGACACTTACCTGCAGCCACTGTCACCAGGAAGAGAATTCTCCAGGTCCAGTCCATGGTGAGGACCGTGCACTCAGGGGCTTCTGAAGGTGTGGGAGTGTCTGCTGTGTAATGTAGTCAGGACACAGACTCAGCTCTATTTAACTCAGCATCTCTCATGCAATTTGCATATTCATGAGGAGGTAGAATTCATAGCTGAAGACCTGGTCCAACCTGAGAAGAGGCTGGTGGAAGCCACTGGGTCCATCGTCAAGAAGAGTGAATAGTTCCACGTTCTGATCCTTGTTTGAGGAGATGAGATCCTGCCCCATCCCAGGACTCTGTGCACACAGAGCTCCCCCTCCGGAGGGCCAGCCCTTTCAGGGCCTTTCCCTCAGGACCTCTCACATCCGTATGGTCTGGAAACATCTGAACACACCTGGACTTTCAGGTTATTTCTGGAATTCCCCATTGCATACAACCATGAGACTACAAAACCATCCAAATGCTACAGAGGTTTCCTTTGGAGATAGTAAGAAGTCCAGAACGACCAACAGCATATAGGTTCTACTGCCTTATCAATATGTAAATGTTCCTTCGAAAATGGTTAAGTATGACCAATTTAACCTTCTCTGTCCTATATTTATTTTAATTATTATTTCTTGAGAGTCTTGAGTCTTGGCCGCTGATGGGATTACATGGCACCAGGGGGCCAGTTGGTAGGTGTGACCGCCGCCTACTGGAATTTTGAGGATCTGGGTGGAGGATATTTGGCCCAAATCTGAGTAGGCTTGGAGATCTCGACCCCGGAACCCGCGTGGCTTTGTCCACCTGAGAGTACCTTCATGTGTGCTGAGAGTGGTCTCAGCATGGTGCTAGCTGTTCCTGGAGGTCTTTGGCTGCCGGAGTTCTGGTCGGGGTGGGAAGGAAATCTCAACCCGCTCCCCTCCAACGGGCCCCAGTGAGGACAGCCAGGCGCAGGGGCAGGAGACTGCACTGTTCTCCTCCCGGAGCTGGTTTTTATAGTCTCTGAGTCTAGGCCACTGATGGGATTACACGGCGCCAGGGGGCCAGTTGGTAGGTGTGACCGTCGCCTACTGGAATTTGGAGGATCTGGGTGGAGGATGCTCGGCCCAAATCCGAGTAGGCTTGGAGATCTCGACCCCGGAACCCGTGTGGCTTTGTCCCTCTGCGAGTACTTTCATGTGTGCGGAGAGTGGTCTCAGCATGGTGCTAGCTGGTCCTGGAGGTCTTCGGCTGCCGGAGCTCTGGTCGGGGTTGGGAGGAAATCTCAAAACGCTCCCCTCCAACGGGCCCCAGTGAGGACAGCCAGGCGCGGGGGCAGGAGACTGCACTGTTCTTCTCCGGGAGCTGGTTTTATAGTCTCTGAGTCTTGGCCGCTGATGGGATTACACAGCTCCAGGTGGCCAGTTGGTAGGTATGCAGAAAATTAATGTCTCACTCAATAGCATATACTTCCCAGGAATATTGGTCAATTGGTGAGATAAGACACGAGGTGAACTCAGTTTGGATTAATGAGTCCTGGGGTGGAGACAGCAGACCTTGAGGCCTTGCTCTAGATCCTGTCTGCTGGTCCATGCTACTTCCAGCCTTTCTGGGCACATCCCAGACCTTGTGTCTGTGCTTGGGTAATGACCTACCCCTGAGCTGGGCTGAGATGACCCCAACATCAGAACTTCATAGTCCCTGACCCTGACCATTTCCTTACCACCACGTGATAGGAGAAATGTGACAATGGTCCTTTTCATATAGGGTCATCTCCTCCACTGTCCTTGTCCATGGCAGGATTCCAGATCAGGAATATGAAAATACAAACATGCACAGAGGGGCAGGGCTCCACAGAAACTCCAGAAGAGGGTCCTAAGGCCAACACTCAAATTTCATTTTAGAGGAAAAGAAATTTTTGCTGAACCACAGAATTAAAAAAAATGTGTGACAACGGAAGTCTGCCATGGGTACATCTACAGCCCACGAATGTGCAGTGACACTAACCCAAACTTCCATATGGTTTGTCCTGTACTATCTGAGGCGCTCCACTGAAAAATTCTTTTTTTTTCTTTTTGTGTCATACCCAGCGATGCACAGGGGTTACTCCTGGCTCATGCACTCACTAATTGCTACTGGAGGTGTTCGGAGGACCATATTGGATGCTGGGAATAGAACCCGGGTTCGCTGCATGCAAGGCAAACGCCCTATCTGCTGTGCTATTGCTCCAGCCCCTCCACTTAAAAATTCTTAAAGAAAATAAGAGTGACACCAAATGTTCTAGAGAGAAGACATCTTCCTGTTGGCTATTGCCGAAGGACAGAGAGAGAGATCCTGAGCCTTTCCCGCAGATGAAGCCTGACCCTGTGAGCCCCATTCTGTGTCTCAGACCCTGACTGTCTGGGGAGGAAGTCAGGAGGATCCGCGTCGCTGTCATCTCCTCACTCAGCACAGCTGCCTCCCCCTCAGGTTTCTGACACACTCAGGATGTGGTTGTCACACTGTGTCTCTCGCACAGTAATACACAGCCGTGTCCTCAGTGCTCAGCCTGCTCAATTCCATGTAGGCTGTGTTCTTGGACTTGTCTACAGTGAAGGTGAGTCTGCCCTGGAACTTCTGTGCATAGCCTGTACCACCACTTTTAGTGTTTAGCCATCCCATCCACTCGAGCCCTTGTCCCGGGGCTTGCAGCATCCAGTGCATCCCGTGGTCGGTGAAGGTGTATCCGGACGCCTTGCAGGAGATCTTCACTGATGTCCCAGGTTTTCCCACCTCAGGCCCCGACTGCACCAGCTGTACCTGGGGGTTCACACCTGTGGACAGAAGAGAGAAGTGGGTGAACTCCACATAACTGGCCCCGTTCCCTCAGCCCAAGGCACGGGGACGCTTACCTGCAGCCACTGCCACCAGGAAGAGAATTCTCCAGGTCCAGTCCATGGTGAGGACCGTGTACTCAGGGTCTTCTGAGTGTGGGTATGCCTGCTGTGTGAGGTTGTCAGGACACAGACGCATCTGTATATAATTCAGTGTCCCACATGTAATTTGCATATTCATGAGGAGGGAGAATCCATAGCTGAACACTTAGTCCAACCTTAGAAGAGGCTGATGGAAGCCACCAGGTCCAACCTCAAGAGGAGTAAATAGGTCCACGTTCTGACCCCTGTCTGAGAAGATGAAACCCTGCCCTGTCCCAGGATTCTGTGCACACAGAGCGCCCCCTCTGGAGGGTCAAGACTTTTCAGGACCTTCCCTTCAGGACCCCCCCCCCCCCACACATCTGTATGGCTTGGAGACATCTGGACACACCTGGGCTTTGAGGTTATTTCTGGGATCCTGTGACTCCACAAGAGATACTACAATGAGACTACAAAACCATACTAATGCTCCAGAGGTTTCCATTGGAGATATTAAGAAGTCCAGAAACACCACCTGCATGTAGATTTTACTGCCTCATCAATATGATAAATGTGCCTTCCAAAATGATAGGTGTGCACAATTTTATCTTCTGTGTCTTATACGTATCTTAATTTCTGCTTTCTTGAGAAAGGCAAATTTAGTTTTAGTGAAGAAAGAAATCCATTCTGAGGAGATTTCTGCCTCTCTGCTCCCATTTCTCCCATCACCCCTTCTAGCCTGCAACTCGGTGCTCCTGGGACTTGGCACCCCCTGCAGCCCATTCCCCACCCTGCAGCCTCTGGGCTCTCAGGGGCTTCAACGTCTTGGCATCTTTAACACAGGATTGAATTCTGGGTTTTCACTTCAGAAGACTTGCTCATGATTCCTATTTTTTAATGGGACTTTTGATTTGGTTTTGAGCCACACCCAGCAGTTCTGAGGACTGATTCCTGGCTCTGTGTTCAGGAATCTCTCAGGTAGATGCATCCCAGAAAATATTGGCAAATCAAGTAGTGTTTTATATATATATACATACATATATATATATATATATATATGACACTGAGTGTTCTTTGCTGGCATTATGTATAAGTAATCCAATAAATACTTAATTCACTCAAATAAAAATAGTAAAAACCATCAAAATAAAGAGGATATATGTCTTTAAGCAAAGACATTTATATAAACAAGAATATATTGAATTTGTTAAATTAATAAAGACTTTTTTCAAAAACCAGGTGTGAATCTAACACGGCTGCCAACAAGTTTATTATATACCGGTAGGGCTGGAGTGATAGCATAGTGGGTAGGGTGTTTGCCTTGCACGCAGCCAACATGGCCAACCTGAGTTCGATTCCTCTGCCCCTCTTAGAGAGCCCGGCAAGCTACCAAGAGTATCTCGCTTGCATGGCAAAGCCTGGCAAGCTACCCATGACATATTGGATATGCCAAACACAGTAACAATTGTCACAATGGAGACGTTACTGGGCCCGCTCGAGCAAATCGATGAACAATGGGAGGACAGTGACAGTGACAGTAGTATGACAAATATAAGTAATTAAAAATGAATAGAATAAGATTACTAAAGTTTTATAGCGATAGCACAGTTGGTAGGGCGTTTGACTTCCACATGGCTGACCCGGGTTTGATTTCTCCGTCCCTCTCAGAGAGCCCGGCAAGCTACTGAGAGTATCCTGCCCTCGCGGCAGAGTCTGGCAAGCTACCTGGCATATTCGATATGCCAAAAACAGTAACAACAAGTCTCACAATGGAGACGTTACTGATTCCCACTTGAGCAAATCGATGAAAAACGAGACAAGAGTGCTACAGCGCTTATTAAACATATGACTTGAACTCTGACTTTTTCAGTGATACACAAGATATTATTTTAAAAAATTTACTTAGAGAAATGCAAGAGGAGAGAAAGAGAGAGCCGGGTTCAGGAAAGCACATGGGTTTCTCCAAAATGGAAAATCTTTGAGCTCTGATTTCTGGTGAGACATGTTAGATGTCTGGAAAACGTCTTCCCACCCAGGACAAATGAAAACCTGAACAAGTGAAACTCAGAGATTTACTTTCTGTCTCTCTGTAAATACTAGAAAAAGAGAGATAGAGAGAGAAGTAAAATAGTATTATCTAAAGAAATTTACTTAGAGATACAAGGAGACAAAGGGAGAGAGACATAGTGAGAGAGGGAGAGAAACAGAGAGACAGTGAGAGAGAGGAAGAGAGAGATGACACGGGATTATGACAGGAAGGACAGTTCAAACACAGAATCTGTTCATCATCAAGTGACCCATCATTCTATATTGATCCCTAGAATCCTATATAGGTTCTCTCTCTCCTCTCTCTCTCCCCCGCTCTCTCCATCTCTCTCTCCATTTCTCTGTCTCTCCCTCTCTCTACTTCTCTCCCTCTCTCTTTCTTTCTCTCTCCCTATCGCTCTCCCTGTCTCCCTCTCTCTTCCTCTATTCCTCTCTCCCTCTCTCTCCCTCTCTCTATCTTTCTCTCCCTCTCTCTCCCCCTCTATCTATTCCTCTCTCCCTCTCTCTCCCCCCACTGCCCCTATCTCTCCCCTTCTTCCTCTCTCTCCTTCTCTCCCTCTCTCGCCCTCTCTTTCTCTTTCCCTATCTCTCTCCCTGTCTCCCGCTCTCTCCCTCTCTTTCTCTCCCCCTCTCACTGTCTCTCCCTCTCTCTCTCCTTCTCTCTTTCTTTCTCTCTTCCTATTTCTCTCCCTGTCTCCCTATCTCTCCCTCTTTTTCCCTCTCTCCCTCTCTTTCCCTCTCTTCTTCTTCTATCCCTTTCTCCATCTTTCTCTCCCTCTCTCCCTCTCTCTCTATTCCTCTCTCCCCCTCCTCCTCCCTCTTTTTCCCACTCTCTCCCTCCCTCCTTCTCTCTCTCTCTCTCTGTCTCTGTCTCTCTCTCTCTCTCTCTCCCATCCAGGTGGGGCCAGCTGACCTCGCAGAGGCCCCTCGGGACCATGTCCGGCCTGTAGGCAGCTGCTCCCGGATGGGGCCAAAGATTGCGGGGGCCCGAAGGGATTGAGGGTCTCCAGGGATGGTTCAGACCCTGAACCATCCCGGGGTTCACGCTGAAGCCTGACCATTCCCCTGAGGGCAGGAGGCCCCTGGTCAGCACTTCCCTGTCCCCGTGTCCTCCTCTGACAGACCTGACCACTCCCCAGGCGCCCGCAACCTAACGACGTGTCTTCCCCGAGTGTCCCTCAGGGACCCCGGCTGGGCTCAGGTCTGGGTGTGACTCAGTTTCTCTCCCCGTGCTCCCGACACCACAAGGTCTATCTGCACAAAATTCTGACTTTCTGCATTTCCTCTTAGTTCGGGGTCACCCGGCAGGGCTATGGGTCACTCCAGGTTCTGCCTGCGGGACCCTCCTGGGAGCTCAGGGACCGCACTGAGCAGGTGGGTGTCAATTCAGGTGGGCTACGTGCAGGCAAGGGCCGGTGCGGTGCCCCTTTCCCGCACTAGGTGGCTCTGACAGGAGTACTGAGATTCCCTGAAATAAAGCCTCTCACTCGCAGCAGTCCCTGTCCCCGTGTCTATCCAGGCACCTGTGAGCCCAGGACATGAGTCCTCATAGACTGACCTGCCTGCCTGTCTCTGTGTCCACCTCATTCAGCAGTTCCCAGGGCGCTCGGACCATAGGAAGGATAGCAGAGTGGACCAAGGTGACAGGAACAGGGATCTTTCCTAGAACCACAGTAACAGAGCAACAGGCAATTATTAAATCTGTGAAAACGGATTTCCAACCTCCAACTTTAACTTAATATTTTATTGACTGTTCTTTCCTTTATTTTCATGTCATTAAATTACATACATATATTTTCTCAGTCAGTTGTGATTCATTTCATGGGTGTTCCATGCCTTCAGATGTAAACTAAATAAAATAAATTGTTTACAATATTTTATTGCAAATAAAATATTGTGGATTTTAATTCGTAATATCTTACAGATACAGAAAGAAACATTAGAAATACAAGTTCAGATCATTCATTTTGTTTATTCTCATTATTAGACACTACCTCCACTACCCAGCCGTCGCCACACTCCAGGACGCTTTCCGGACCCGCGTGGCAGCTCCGGCCGAGACTCACGCACCACTGAAGACCCACAGAACAAGATAAGCGGAACTCTCTGAGACCTTGAACTCCAGGCTCGGCGGACACAGGGACAGAGTTTCTCTGCTTGCTCCCACCAACCACAGGTGACAAAGGGATTCTAATCAGGAGCCCCACCCTACCTGCCCTGTCTGCTTCCATCAACCACCCAGGGATCGAATTGCGCACAGAATACCCACCCTACCCAGATAGGTATCCCACTGGCAGATTTCCACTATCGACATTACCTCCACTACCCAGCCTTCGCAACACTCCAGGACGCTTTCCGGACCCGTGTGGCAGCTCCGGCCGAGACTCAAGCACGACTGAAGACCCACAGAACAAGATAAGAGGAACTCTCTGAGACCTTGAACTACAGGCTCGGCAGACCCATAGACAGAGTTTCACTGCTTGCTCCCACCAACCACAGGTGACAAAAGGATTTTAATCAGGAGCTCCACCCTACTCTGCCCTGTCTACTTCCATCAACCACCCAGGGATCGAATTGCACACAGAATACCCACCCTACCCAGATAAATACCCCACTGGCAGACTTCCACTATCGACACAACCTCCACTACCCAGCCGTCGCCACACTCCAGGATGCTTTCCGGACCCACGCGGCTGGAACTGGTCTCATTCACCTGACCCTGAAGGCTTCACCGACATGGCAGCACTGAGAACGATGAGAAAGGAGAGGCCGACAAAATCTCAAGGCCAAACTAGGCTGCCACAACGAAGGAAGACAAAAATGATCGTCTGTACTTTCAATGCACGTAAGCTAGCATCAGATGCATCCATCGAGGACCTGATGGTACAAGCGCGAATGATGAAGTACAACAGCATGGGTCTGACCGAGACAAGAAGGCCCAAATCTCACCATGCCGTTTTCGACACTGGAGAAGAATTGTTCCTCGGAACATGCGAT